GTGAAATTATGGGTTACTTGATAGTTAAATTATGGGTTACTTTGATAGTTATGTTATGGGTTACTTGATAGTGAATTATGGGTTACTTGATAGTGATATGGGTTACTTGATAGCGATATTATGGGTTACTTGATAGTGAATTATGGGTTACTTGATAGTGATATTATAATTATGGGTTACTTGATAGTGAAATTATGGGTTACTTGATAGTGATATTATGGGTTACTTGATAGTGAATTATGGGTTACTTGATAGTGATATTATGGGTTACTTGATAGTGAAATTATGGGTTACTTGATAGTTATATTATGGGTTACTTGATAGTTATATTATGGGTTACTTGATAGTGAAATTATGGATTACTTGATAGTGAAATTATGGATTACTTGATAGTTATATTATTGGTTACTTGATGGTAAAATTATGGGTTACTTGATAGTTAAATTATGGGTTACTTGATAGTGAAATTATGGGTTACTTGATAGTTATATTATGGGTTACTTGATAGTGAAATTATGGGTTACTTGATAGTTAAATTATGGGTTACTTGATAGTTAAATTATGGGTTACTTGATAGTTAAATTATGGGTCACTTGATAGTTAAATTATGGGTTACTTGATCGTCATAAGCGGTGGTGCAGCCAGAATAGGTCCTGCCCGGGGTAGGCCAAGATTTTTTTCCCACTCCCCAAATCACAAGAAAAAAACTCGGCAGTTGGTAGAAAATAAATAAAAGGGCACTGTATAAACCCATATATAAGCTTAGGGGCAATAAGGGGTTATTCTGGGGCAATAAGGGGTTACTCTGGGGCAATAAGGGGTTATTCTGGCGAATGGCGTCTTGAAACCATTTTAAAAACCATGTAACTCTGGTTTATAGGATTTTTATTTAACATAGAGATGTTATTTTAGGATGAATTAATAAAATAAATGATATAAAAAAACACAAAAACCTCCATTGTTTTATAAAAATATTTTATTACAGACATTTCATTTATTAGACCTCCCATTTATAAAACATCCCATTTATAAGACATCGCATTTTGTGCAAGATGCAATTGATGAAAAAAAAGAGAAAAGAAATTCAATGGCAAAGATCATGCAAATTTCATGACATATTATAAATAAATGTAAATAAACAACATTTCATATATTATATGAGTAATATAAAACAGTAATAACTATAACATTATAAAGTTATATAAAATGCTTTTAAAAAAATGAAGCTCAAGCATGTTTACTAATAACAACCCTTTGTATGAATGACACCCATATGAATGGCACCCATATGAATGACACCAATATGAATGACACCCATATGAATGACACCCATATGAATGACACTCATATGAATTACACCCATTCTAGTTTACATTTTACACAGAAAATGTTTTAATTAATGTAAATGTAATTGTTATATTTACTATATATCAATATAATTTTTCTCTAGCTGCTTAGATTAAAATCACATCATTATGTTATTATTTTATTTTTTTTTTTTGCTTTCAGTCATCATAACAAATGGACATTTAATCTCACTGTACATTTTTTGTTTATAAAAAAAATTACAGCAAATTATCTTTAAATGGACATGTCTGCTGTGAGCAAGGAAAGGTGCCATGTGTATAATTTGGATTTAAAATTTTTTTTTACATGGAATGATATGATTGTAATAGATTTACTTTAAATTTTATTTTCTAATTAGGGGGGGGGGGGGGGGT